TTTGTATAGATTAGTATGATTTTTAACTAAGTTCGCTTCATGACTATAAGATTTAACTGCTTAGAAGTGCGTCTGTGTGTGACTAAAAGAAATAAACAAAGCAATTATTAAGACTGAAATTAACGTTAAAGTTATTTAATTTTCTGTTTAATTGTTTAATAAATGTTGATTTTTACAAAAAATTGCCTCTTTTCATTACGTTTCACCAGAAATTAACTGAATTAAAATTTTTCAAAAATGGCTTACTCATCTTGAAAAAAAAAGTTTTTTCTTAATTGTCTCGAAGTCCCGGGAATTCCCGCGACTTTGATTATAGGCTGTCCCGTGTCCCGGGACTTTGAAATTGTCGGGAATTCCCAAACCATAAGTAGTAGTAATAGACCGGACATCAGTAGCAAAATTGTCGTCTGTAACTTATGTCCTACAGGATATATCTCCGATTTTTATCATTTATTCTTAGTGACATCGTCAATAAGTCAAGACGCATTCGTTTCATATATTTAAAATATATATTTAAAGAAAATATGCCCGGTTGTGCAATAAGATATTGGAAGTCACGATATGGAGCAATAAATAAACGTGATTTCGGTTTAATATCGTAAATATAACATATATTTACCGAATAATCTTTAAATTTTATTATTTCTAGTAGATTGTTCTAGAACATTTATTTTTAATGTAATAAGCGTCCTCTGTTATCCAATAAGCGTCACTATTTAGTTACCAATTTTAAAGTTAGTGATTGACGTCGTTTATCGATTGGGATTATCGATAAAAAAATATACAGAGTTCCGATTTAATCCTTTACAATATTTAAGGAGGTAAAACAGTCAACGATAATGTACCTATACCATCAAAAATGAGTAGCATATACCAACTATGCTAAGTACCCTACTTTATGTGGAGCAAGGGTGGGAATTTTTTTTAGGCATGATGATGAGATTTTCTGTGTAGATGTTTAGCAATACAGCAAGTCTTCTCTTTTACATACCAGGCTTCATTGTCTGGTGGTTTTACACCGGGCTTCATTGTCTGGTGGTTTTCAAAGACAAAGCCATTATAGATCATCGCTTACAGTAATAGGAGAGGGGAATAGATTTCTTACATTAAAAACAATTTGTACTCTTAAAGATATTAGATGCAAGAAGTTGTAGGTTAAGCCTGAGTTAGAAAATAAGGTAAAAACTTAAAATAACAATTTTTATTTATGTGGGTAGTGTCTTTAAGTACTGCAGCTGATGAAACGTGAAAAATCGTGAAACGGCTCTTAAGTTTTCAGTTTTCCTAAAATATTTTAGATTTGAAGTGTATTTTTGTAATAGAAACGAATTTAAAAACATAGAGGCGCTCTCTTATTGGATTTGGCGTTTCTCGATGTCTCTTTAACGCCGCTCGATCAAGCATATGCTATTATGACCGAGTGACGTCATGCCACTAAGGTGGCAACCAAAGTGACTGCTGTTTGAATTAATTCTTAGTTATTGGAAATTAAATATTTTATTTCATAACACTAAAGGGGCGTAAAAAGTTAATATGATTTTTTTCGTGTGATGGGAGTCATGATAAATAGATTTATACAGTAAAACAATCATGTATATTCCCTATTATTATATCGAAAAGCATTTCAAACTTAGTAATCTTTAACGACATTATCGATGCTTTGATATCGAAACGGTACATCCCTAAAACGAGGTTATATGTATTAGCGTCGCCTAGTGGGGAATAGCTAAAATGTTGTCTTAATAAATGCTTAGCGTTGTTTTGATATTTTTAGCTAGAGGGTGACACACGCGCACTAGCTCAAAGTTTTTGTATATCAATGTTCCCAATGTCCGCTCTATAGTATACCTATATATTTAAATCTCTTTGGTTATACATATTTATTGATGAAACATGGCTAAACGACAATCACACTGTGCCGCAGACATGGACAGATGACAAGTGCCCGTGGAAAAGGTGGGCGCCTCATAAATTGCCATGTAAAATCCGCCGGAGGAGGATTTGTAGAAAATACAATTATTATTCAAACGACCACTGGGCTAAAGTGATGGAGAAAACTAATAGAATTGTTATGACATTCATTTGAATGCATCAAGTATAGTTAAGATACTAACTATACTTAATGCATTCAAATGAATGTCTGTTAAGCTGGAATGGTCATTTGGGCAAAATCACAAAAATTTTTGCTAAATATTTAGTGCTCATTTAGTGTATTTGGGTCAAATAGTCTCTTTCCAGGCAAGACACAAGACAAAGAAGTTGCAAGACGCACTGAAAACGCCTGGAAGAGCTATTGTTCTATGAAGGATCTTTGAATTGTGTGGTGGCCTTCCTTTATCCCTAAAAACGAAACTCATGGACGTGTGCATACTTCCCATCCTCACCTATGGTGCCCAGACATGGTTTTTGATAGTCCAGCAGAAGTCCTTGAGGTTTGTCAAAGAGCAATGGAACGGAGCATTCTCGGCATTAAGCTTGTAGACCGGATTAGGAATAATGAAATCTGTTCCAAATCAAAAATTGCTGATGTCACACAAAAAGCTGTTATGCTAAAATGGGACTGGGCTGGAAACATCTGACTAATGCCAAATGAACAATGGGCAAAAGTGACAACTCAATGGGCTCCTATAAAAGGCAAACGTCAGCGGGGCAGACCCAAGTGGAGATGGCGGGATGAACTAGACTCCTTCATGAAGGACTGGTCTATGGTGGCTCTGGCGAGAGAGAAGTGGAAAGAGAGTAGGGAGGCCTTTGCCCTGCAGTGGGACATTTTATGCTAGTAATGATAATAATAATAATCTATATCTAGACTTCCCTCCCAAATGATGTTCAATTACTGTCATACTCTTTATGAGTTATAACAGCGTTTTATTATAATAATAATTATAACATTCAGTATCACCTAATTAATAAAAATATGCAACAGTAAAATTACATAGATATTAAAAACTATCGAAATCTAAGTAAAGAGAACATGTTGGTCGTTCCACATCTAAATTATATAAAAATGCATTTTCAATTTCGCCGCGAAAATTTCATCTATTTTGTGCACTTTAAAAATTAATTTATTTAGAAAACAATTTTTCCAATGTATAGATATTAACTAAATTAAGTATTTCTACTCATCAAATTTATAATTGAGCATAAACTCTTTAAAAACTAAAATATATTTGAACGAGGTCGCTCGAACATCGCGTGCGGTCCATCCTCGACGATGTCTGAAAACAGACTGCGATAGCGATAGAGGTATAGCTGGCGGAGGATTACAGGACGACGGAGTAGGCACGCTCGCGCGAATATATTCAATTTTGAGGAAACATTATATTTTCTCGGTTAAACGGGGAATAAAATTTAACTTAATTAGAAATGTTAATATTTTAAGACCTTTTTTTAGTGTAAAAACTATTTAAATAGCTTGTGCCGTTTTGGAGAAATTATGCAAAATATGACAAAAATAGGTCTTTGGGGATTTTTTTTCTATTAAGGGATTGAACAGAAATACGATTTTGTTCAATTAAAAACATTTATTAAATCCTCTCTGTCATCCTGTATTTCTTCTTTGCGGATTAAATGAATATTGTATTTATTTACTTAAATATCGTAGAATGTAGGCATTTCACCCGCTCTTAGGTCCTTAACCTTAAATTCTAAAATATCTCAAAGGAGGCATTGGAACAAAGTGCCTTATCGCACGGTACGAATTTGTCGCATGGAGTTTAAACTACGGCAGAGGTTTTAATAGCCTATATAATTATTATTAATTAGATAAATCGCGCACGGAAGCTAAATTAAGGCTTTAACTAGCCTGAATGACCTTGACGAAACGGCGATCGCAGAGATTTTAGCCGATGTCAACACCGTCTAGCAACTACGTTCTGTATTACTTATAAAAGTGCAAAGATTAATAGACTACAGAGATGACAATTATATAAGTGACATACTGCCTGTTATACTTGCGCATCACTGAGAATTATGTCGCGGTTACGCATCTTCAACTACATTGTGCTGTAGCTTTGTTCGGTAGGCGTCACGAGCTATCAAGTGTTCAAGTTTCAAGTACGTAAGAGTTTTTTATTATATATGTTAAATCGTATTTATTTGTATTGTATTAATAGATCTGGGTCAAAGCGTTCGCTGTAAATTTTCCCGGGTTTGATCTCCGACACCACGAATGAAATTTGTAATTGCAATTTTCGTCAACACGCATTGGGGAAGCACGGCGGGCATTCCCTCGCCCTAAAACCCTCTCAGAAATAAAAAAGAGTCCTGTGCCCAATAGAGGGACTTGTACAAGGGCTGCACTAAAAGTATCGGGAATGGAATATTTCCACTGTTCCTGTCATATTAATTTTTTTTAATTGATAAGTCCTTGGTTTTAAAAATCGAATACCATTTATTTATTTAAAAATAGATTCTCGGTCTTGTCACAAGGTTTTGTCAAACTTGTTTAGTCGTTGAGAAAATGGAATTGACTCGAGAAAATTCAGGAGCGATGATTTATTATGACTTTCGAAGTGGTTTAACACAAAAACAGTATGTTGACCGGATGATTTCTGCATTTGGTGATGAAGCCCCATCCAAAACCACAATTTATCGCTCGTTTGCTGAATTTCAACGTGGACGTGTCAAGCTCAGTGATAATCCCCGTCAAGGTCGTCCAAAAACTGCAGTCACCCAAGAAAACGTTGATGGTGTGCGTAAGCTGATTGAGGAAGATTGACATGTGACATACCGCGAAATTCAGGCAACTTTAGACATTGGAATGAGTCAAATACAAATAATCTTGTATGAATATTTAGGTGTAAAAAAGTTGTTTTCCCGATGGATACCTCATTCGCTCTGTGAAAGCGGCTCGCGTTACTTGGTGCGTCAGAACTCTCGAAAGATTCCACGCAGGATCCTCAAATGCTGTATACAACATTGTATCAGGTGACTAATTCTGGATATACGCGTACGAACCCAAAACAAAAAACCAGTCACGAGTTTGGGTGTTCGAAAAATTGTTCGTTCACGGAGTGTTGCAAAAAAAGGTGGCCACGTTTGTCTCCAAAACCGGCCATGTTACGACTATTCCTCTTGAGGGACAAAGAACGGTTAATGCAGAATGGTATGCTAGCATTTGTTTGCCACAGGTCGTTTCTGAACTTCGTAAAGAGAACTGCAACCGCCGCATCATCCTCCATCACGACAATGCGAGTTCTCACACCGCACACAGAACAAAAGAGTTTTTAGAGCAAGAAAACATAGAATTATTAGACCATCCGCCGTACAGCCCCGACCTAAGCCCTAATGATTTCTATACTTTCCCTAAAATAAAGAATAAATTGCGTGGACAGAGATTTTCATCACCTGAAGAAGCTGTGGACGCCTACAAAACGGCCATTTTGGAGACCCCAACTTCCGAATGGAATGGTTGCTTCAATGATTGGTTCCATCGTATGGAAAAATGTGTCAAATTTCGCGGAGAATACTTCGAAAAGCAATAAATACATTTTTAAATAGTAATGTTGTGTCACTTCCTTGATTCCCGAAATTTTCAGTGCCGCCCTCGTTTACTACTACTATTACTTTACTTTGTAGCAATATTTATATTCGTTTCAGATATAGAAGGGTACCTTATGCTGACAAAAATATCATGTGGAGGCGACGAAAACGTAAAACATCTTTGTACCTAGATAAAACGTTCGAAAGATTGTCAGTCATGTCATACGCCACATTTTCTATAGAGCGTAGAACATTGCAGATAGGGCAAAATAAAAAATAATCCAAAATATTATGGGAACTATTTATTAATTATATATGCATTGATAGGTATTTATAATAAAAATAATGAATAAGCTGCAAGGTTCAGCTAATAATGTTTTTTTGTAAACACAATCGTAAAATTCCTGTTTTAATTTTTACCAATGGTTAATTGATGAAACGTAGTCAAGATCACTTCATATAAAATATATTTAATTCAAATTGACACGTGAGCTATTTGGCCGTCTACTTATAACTCGGCGGAAATTTGAAAAGAAGATTTTGTCTTTTCACACAAGTATTGTTTACAACTGGCGTGGTTTCGAAAAGCGTGATTAAGTGTCAGCGGTATATAATCAATTAAATACTGAACTTTTTTGAAATTTATTTTTTTGTTTATTTTTGTTATATCTTCTTAAAAACTGACGCCATCTCACTATTTTATTATTTGTTATTTTTTGTAACGCATAAGGATAAGTTAAACTAAGTTAGAACTAAGTTAGATTAACTTGGATAAGTTTATAATTTTTTTAATTTTATCACAAAATTTCCGCAGTAAATTATTTCTTTTCTACAGTGATTCTCTCCTCTTAGTTTCGGCGTGACTGTAGGATGTTATAGTGAGTCACCGTCAGTTACTAAGCAGCCATAAATCATTATATGTATGTATAGACATACATATATACATTTTTTGATTTTAATATTTATGTTTATTTGAATTTTGATTGATTTTTGAAACCTAGTAAAAAAATTTTTTTACATACCAATTGATGGGCCTGAGTATAATGCCAGTTATGCTCTTTGGTTGAAGTTATTTTTTATTTTATGCTCAATTGCAGACAAAACAATATTGATTGTGCATTTCTAAAACAAAATTTTACCTCTTCTCCTTCTAATAATAGCTCCTGCACCTAACACGGCGGAATAGTTTTATTATCTATAAGACAATTTGCGGAAACAGATTTTGTTAACAGTTATGAGTGTAACATTTTATCAGCTGCTTTGTTTATAGTGCCTTGAGCAACACTGCCGGTTTCTGTACAGAAAATGATGCTGGCTTTGCACATATGGCCGCTACCATTGAATATAATACCCGATATGTTACACTTATTTACATAGAAACTTTAATTATCATTTGCATAAAATTCTAAATAGCACTTTTTACACAAGAAAGTAAACTTTTCGATCAATCCATCTTGTTTTTCACTAATTAAGTAAAAAGTAAAATAAATCAATAGGGCCGTGATTTAAAATTTCTTGCAATTTTTTATAGAAAAGCATGACCCTATCATAATATAAAAGTCAATCATTTAGCTACGTGATAAAACTTTTAAGTGTGCCAGTCAAACATTAATGATGATATTCGGGTCATTATACTAGAAATAGTTTTTTAAATATTTTGTAGTACAATTGATAATCTTCAGTATGATTGACCGTGTAAAAGCCCTTTCACATTTATTTTAGTCTCGAATTAAATTAAACAAAATGAAAATAATAACTTTGGCTCTTTAGAACTGATCTTTAAATGTAAAACACTGACTTGAAATTATATAATTATCGGCATTTTTTTAAATTCATTGAACTTTCTTAAGATTTTGTTAAAACTCTAATGGTAAAAAAAGAAACAAATATATATATTCTTGACTTGAAACAAATATAAAGTTCTTGATGAAAATAATGTATGCGCGTTACATCGCGTCCCTTCAAGAATTTCTAATGTAATTCTTGGTGTAAAGCTAAGACGTGATAATAACTGTTAACAATAGAATAACAAAATAATGAAAACATTTACATTTACATACAAAACATTTACAAAAATACTTGCTTTATAACCTAATAAATATTATTTGACCGTAATAAAATAAAACAAGGTAGTCTTCGGCATGAAAGTAAAAATAAATATTTTCGATTATTTTTGCAATATCTAACAGCCGGATCAGCGCGCGATTCTGATCCATCTAAAGATGCTAAATTTCAGCAAGCACTGTCAAATTCAAGTGCTTACAATACTTAAGGCGCAGGTTGAGCAAAATGTCGCGCTAGTCGTTATTTGTGCGGTTTTTAGGAGCTATCTACTTTTTATTTAAAAGATATATCAACAAATAAAAAACACATTATATTTCTACATTATCTTGATTCCATAAAAGCTATATTCAATTTTTTTTTAAAGGAATAAATATTAATATAATCTCCTTACAACGAAACCACATAAATGTGAAATTATTATTGATAACATGCATATCCTCGTAAAGTATTATTTTATTTTGCGATTTACACCAATGGATAGGCAATTTATTAATGAACATTTCTATAGTAAATTTTTTTCAAAAGACCAAAATTTGATTTTATTAAGAAATTATTTTAAAATCTGGGCATATTCACTGCTCACGGGCTTGCTGAAGTCAGTGAGCCCTGAGCTCTTCGACGTGAAGCCCGTGTCGTTAGAGCGTCGACCAGCGCATACACTCACGTCATATCAGTCGATAATAATATTACTTATTAGGTTATTTATAGGTAGTATTATTTGTTTGTTTTGTATAATTTTTCGTATTAGTTTTACATATATTTGTTGTGTTTTTTACTGCGCGATGAAGCTTTTTGCTTGTATTTTCTTTGAAGTAAATGCAAATAAAAAAATGAAGCACCATTAGCTTGTAAGGTTCGAATCCATAATTAAAATTTCGACAAATATTATAATTTACACTATAAAAGGCTAATTCAATATTATCACCCAACCACAATATCTTATTAAGTATAGTACTACTTCGTTGGTCTAGTGGTTGTAGTAGTGCGACTGCTGATCATGAGGTCCCGGGTTCGAATCCTGGGTCGGGCCAAAAAGTCAGTTATGAGTTCTTCATTTATGTTCTAAGTTATAATTAGTATTACTAAATTATAGTTTTTTGCTAAAATATAGTATATTATTTATTGCTTGTTTTTTCTTCTTTTTCAAAAAATAATTGAGTACATAAGGTGTTCTATACTTATAATTCGGTAAAAAGTATCTAAGTAGGTACTAATAACTTACTAAAAATTTTTAAAACTAAATTTAACTAAAAAGACTAAACTGACCATTTATTTTTTAACTCAAAACAGGACATGGGTTTATTTATACTCTAAAAACTATAACTTTATACAATTAGTGTTCACTGTAAAATTATATTCGGTATAGACGGTAATTATTAAATGCAACATATTTTTTGTAATTATTAATTACATTTGTCAGTGGATTAAATTTGCTTTAATAAAGTTGGTGATGATTCTAAATAAAAATAAAATACTGCTCAAGTTTTTTATTGTTATCTTTGTTAACAACATCGCCTTTAGAACTCTGGAACCGTAAGTGTTTCTTTCAGACGTCCACAATTTATTCAAAATAAAAAATACTCTTTCTACCGGAGCATTCGTACCAGGTAGACATAAAATATATTCGATTAAAAAAAATTATGTTGAAGATTGTTGACTTTGAATACTTCCATCCAACGAGTTACGGGACAATTTTGTGTCCCGGAGCTTTATTTGGGGACAATGGGACAGGTGACCGAGAAAAGGGACAGTCCCGTTCAAAACGGGACGTATGGTCACTTTAGCTATAACCCGGCGACGGCTCCGTGGCGCAGTGGCTTAGCAATCAGTTGTTGCGTTGGGGGCCGCGGGTTCGAATCTCGCACGGAACAAGTATTTGTATGGCCTACAAATAATTGTCCTTGTGCAATTTATGTTTGTAAAATGCCTCCACGACGCAGGAGTATAAGAGAATATATTCAATTTTGAGGAAACATTATATTTTCTCGGTTAAACGGGGAATAAAATTTAACTTAATTAGAAATGTTAATATTTTAAGACCTTTTTTTAGTGTAAAAACTATTTAAATAGCTTGTGCCGTTTTGGAGAAATTATGCAAAATATGACAAAAATAGGTCTTTGGGGATTTTTTTTCTATTAAGGGATTGAACAGAAATACGATTTTGTTCAATTAAAAACATTTATTAAATCCTCTCTGTCATCCTGTATTTCTTCTTTGCGGATTAAATGAATATTGTATTTATTTACTTAAATATCGTAGAATGTAGGCATTTCACCCGCTCTTAGGTCCTTAACCTTAAATTCTAAAATATCTCAAAGGAGGCATTGGAACAAAGTGCCTTATCGCACGGTACGAATTTGTCGCATGGAGTTTAAACTACGGCAGAGGTTTTAATAGCCTATATAATTATTATTAATTAGATAAATCGCGCACGGAAGCTAAATTAAGGCTTTAACTAGCCTGAATGACCTTGACGAAACGGCGATCGCAGAGATTTTAGCCGATGTCAACACCGTCTAGCAACTACGTTCTGTATTACTTATAAAAGTGCAAAGATTAATAGACTACAGAGATGACAATTATATAAGTGACATACTGCCTGTTATACTTGCGCATCACTGAGAATTATGTCGCGGTTACGCATCTTCAACTACATTGTGCTGTAGCTTTGTTCGGTAGGCGTCACGAGCTATCAAGTGTTCAAGTTTCAAGTACGTAAGAGTTTTTTATTATATATGTTAAATCGTATTTATTTGTATTGTATTAATAGATCTGGGTCAAAGCGTTCGCTGTAAATTTTCCCGGGTTTGATCTCCGACACCACGAATGAAATTTGTAATTGCAATTTTCGTCAACACGCATTGGGGAAGCACGGCGGGCATTCCCTCGCCCTAAAACCCTCTCAGAAATAAAAAAGAGTCCTGTGCCCAATAGAGG